TAAGACCATGTTACATCCACATTTACAATGTAATATGTAACATGGTGCCAAGTGAACGTCTTTTTCCTTTTTTTTTTTTTTTTTTTTTTTTTTTTAAATTAAACTTTAAATTTAAGTGCACAAAGTGACACTTCATTCATGTCTGCGCACAACAGCATGTTGTTGCGCTGCTGTGCTTTGACATGCGGTGCATTCCTGTGTGCTGTGGTAAAATGCTACATGACTGCATTTTACTGCAACTCATTGTGCCACACTGCCCAGCTGCAATCAAGAAACAGAAATAATTCCAGTGTGGATAAACACCGGTCACTGCTCTATAGGTGAATGAGCCCTAAATAAAGGTTGGATGAATGTTGTCTTATGTGTATTGACATCTGATGAGCTGCTGTCATGTCTATGAGATGCAGGATCTGTACACAGGACTGGAAAGATGTAATTGTAACCCATAGCAACCATCCTGAGCTTCACCAGTGACAGTTAGGAAATGCTTTATACGCTGGGCTCTGCAGGCTTCCCCTCCTCCTCTGTCTTCTGTGTATTTGTGTTGTCATGGTAACTGAGGCCTAACAACAGATCCTTCCCTAACCCTGGGCTGAGAATGAATGAAATATCACCACAACTATTTAACAATTCTAATTATTTCTCTATGTGGTGTGAGATTTAACTCTAGAGTTTTCTGGGATCTCCGTCCACTCACAAGATGTACATTTTAGGGTTTGTACTTGTACCTTCACACATGGTTTGTCCTGACTTAACCACTTAAGGACCAGGCCTATTCTGACACTTCTCACCTACATGTAAAAAACAGTGTTTTTTTGCTAGAAAATTATTTAGAACCTCCAAACACCATACACAAACATATATATATATATATATATATATATATATATATATATATATATATATATATAATTTTTTTTTTTTTTTTTATTTTTTATTTTTTTTTAGCAGAGGCTCTAAAGAATAAATTTTTTTATGTCACATGGTATTTGCATCACAGGTTTTTCAAACGCAATTGTTTTGGACAAAAATACCCTTTAATGAACTTAAAGGGAAAAAAAAAAAAACACACATCACAATGTATAACTCAACCTTTTTTAAAGTATAAAAGACGATGTTACATCGAGTAAATAGATACCTAACCTGTCAAGCTTTAAAATTGCGTAAGCTCGTGGAATGGCGCCAAACTACAGTACTTAATCTCCATAGGCGACACTTTAAACATTTTTTTTTACAGGTTACCTGTTTAGCATTACAGAGGAGGTCTAGTGCTTGAATTATTGCTCTCGCTCTGATGTTTGCGGCGATAACTCACGTGCGGTGTGCGCACTGTTTACAAAAGTGGCCTACTGATGTGTTCACAGCTGCAAGCCAGCATGGGGGAACGGGGGTGCTATAAGTTTTTTTCTTTTAATTATTTAATTTTATTACAATTTCAATTTTACACTGTTCCTTTAATTTTTTTCTGGATCACTTTTATTCCTATGACAAGGAATGTAAACATCCTTTATGGATGAAATAAGCAGTGACAGGTCCTCTTTATGGAGAGATCTGAAGTCAAAAGGATCCCACATCTCTCCTCTACAATAGAAAGAATTAGATTAAAAAAAAAAAAAAAAAAAAACACACATCGATCTAATACACTAAAAAGTGATCCAGTGGCAAATCAGTCCCTCTGATCACTTTTAGTAGAAAGACTGGCACCTGAGGGAAATTTACAAACAATGGTGTTATGGCATCTAGCTTTAGCCATAACCCCATTATTAAATGTCAAAGTAAAGATGTATTTCCCCAGTTAGGCAGTTGGCAAGTGGTATATCTTATCCCAGGAACAAAAATTGATAGTATTGCAGATCACTGGTCCTTAGATGTGGTGGCTGCATTAGTTTTCCTTTTCAGCCTAAGAACAGTTTAAAGTGGAACCCTCGTATCCTTTACAGCCAAGGAAACTGCCATCGTAGCCTCTGTTCTGCAGTTGCCAGGGTGCTGTACATGTGGTCAGTTATGACTCCAGCCATTTGATGGTTTGACAGTACAGGTACTTGTGACAGTGATCACATGATGCCTTGAATAGATTGGTTATGGGAAACAGTCAAATCGATGGGTTTAGTTCCACTTTGGAGCCCCATTCACACTAGCTGCAGCATTCCCATCCACATTTCATTTTCCTCTTGAATGGGTTGCCCGTGCGAGCCAAAAAAGCTCCTGCACCTGTTCAGATGGTAAGCTTTGTGCATTTTTTTACTGTGCATTTGTCGTATGTCTGCTTTGTTGAGGGTACCGTTAAGAATGGCACAACAAGCATTTTTCATGCCTCCCTTGAATGTACAGATGTGAATGGGGCCTACTATAGCAGTGCAGGAAATCACATGTGATTCGGACAGGGATCACACCACATTCCTTTTTAAATTACATGCAATTCTTTGCAGTGCGATTTGAGCCATTCATTTTGTATGGTCTCAATTTGCACCGTATGAAAAATGCGCAGGAATCCTTTTTTTTTTTTTGCCACACAAGCCTTACAATCGCACATTTTTTTTAACCTGTTTTGGGGTGTCATCAATTTAAAACACTGACACCCGTGGCAGGTCACATGTAAGGAGTTTGATTTCAAAGCAGTGCGGGCAACATTCAGGATTTGCTACGTTTCCCACACCACTTACACTATATTGCCAACAGTATTGTGACGCCTGCCTTTACACGCACATGAACTTTAATGGAGTCCCAGTCTTAGTCCGTAGGGTTCAATATTGAGTTGGCCCCACCCTTTGCAGCTATAACAGCTTCAACTCTTCTGGGAAGGCTGTCCACAAGGTTTAGGAGTGTGTCTATGGGAATGTTTGACCATTCTTCCAGAAGTGCATTTGTGAGGTCAGGCATTGATGTCAGATGAGAAGGCCTGGTTCACACTCTCCGCTCTAATTCATCCCAAAGGTGTTCTATTGGGTTGAGGTCAGGACTCTGTGCAGGTCAGTCAAGTTCCTCCACCCCAAAATCTCACCCATGTCTTTATGGACCTTTCTTTGTGCACTGGTGCGCAGTCATGTTGGGACAGGAAGGGGTCATCCCCAAACTGTTCCCACAAAGTTGGGAGTATGAAATTGTCCAAAATGTCTTGGTATGCTGACACCTTAAGAGTTCCCTTCACTGGAACTAAGGGGCCAAGCCCAATCCCTGAAAAACAACCCCACACCATAATCCCCCTCCACCAAACTTTACACTTGGCACAATGCAGTCAGGCAAGTAGCGTTCTCCTGGCAACCGCCAAATCCAGATGCAGCTATGAGATTGCCAGACAGAGAAGTGTGATTGGTCACTCCAGAGAACACGTCTCCACTGCTCTAGAGTCCAGTGGCGGTGTGCTTTACACTACTGCATCCGATGCTTTGCATTGCACTTGGTGATGTAAGGCTTGGATGCAGCTGCACGGCCATGGAAACCCATTCTATGAAGTTATCCACACGCTACTGTGCTAATCTGAAGGCCACACGAAGTTTGGAGGTCTTTAGCTATTGACTCTGCAGACAGTTGGTGACTTCTGCGCACTATGCGCTGACCCCGCTCTGTCATTTTACGTGGCCTACCACTTCATAGCTGAGTTGCTGCTGTTCCCAGTTGCTTCCACTTTGTTATAATAATACCACTAACAGTTGACTGTGGAATATTTAGTAGCAAGGAAATGTCACAGATGGACTTATTGTACAGGTGACAACCTATCACGGTACCACGCTTGTATTCACTGAGCTCCTGAGAGCGACCCATTCTTTCACAAATGTTTGTAGAAGCAGTCTGCATGCCTAGGTGCTTGATTTTATACACCTGTGGCCATGGAGGTGATTGTAACACCTGAATCCAATGATTTGGAAGGGTGCCCCAATACTTTTGGCAATATAGTGTATATGTGACCCGGGGCTTGAGAATCATTCAGACAGGCAGTAACCCATGGGAATCCGCCCCCCACACGTGTGTAATCAGCTGCATGCTATCACATGTAGGTGCTCATCAGAGTGGTCACGTGTGATTAAGGCATCAGATTTCAGGCGCACGCAGTTTGCCTCCATGGCCTGTGGTTCTGGCTGCACACAATCTGGACACAGCTAGTCCTTTGGTTTGTATGCAGCTATAGCAATGAGTGCTGTGGCATCCATATGAGGAGTTTAGCCACAACTGAACACGGCAGCCTATCGGGACGATCCCTAACTCTTCCCTGCTCCATCCACAACTGAAAATAAAGTACAAAGTCATCCAAGCAGAACTACACTGCATCTGAGCACCACAAACCAAGAATGCTACTAAATTCATTTTTAATGTTCAAAGCAAACGATCCCCCCCCCATGTCTCCATCCTTTATTTTGCTGAGAATCATTTAAAAAACACCCCCTAGCACAGGGGTAGGCAACCTGCGGCTCTCTAGCTGTTGTGGAACTACATTTGCCATGAGGCATTGCAACATTACAAAACTGACAGTTACAGCTATGACTTGCAGAGGCATGATGGCACTTGTAGTCCTGCAACAGCTGGAGAGCCACAGGTTGCCTACCCCTGCCCTAGCATACCTGCCCTTTGCCATCTTGAGTAAGGGCAAATGATTCATTTAGCAATTACTTCCTGGAATCCATCTGTCCTTAGCTCGGGCACGCAGGCAGGAGGGTGTGCTTAGCTGAGAAAACCTCTCCTCCCAACCAAAAGACTCCTGGGATGTATGACATCATTTGCCTAGGCAAGAAACCAAGAAGTAATAGAAGAAATGTGAAACAAGTAAATCTGATATACTTTCTTATCGACATACTGATACTGGCAGTCTAAGGATTCAGAATAATCAATGTTGGTTGATTGATTGAGAGAGTGACGTTCCACTATAATACAAGTCTCCTCGGTCATAGTCCAGCACAGTGATCAGTGCAGGGAAAGTGGATCTCCAGCTGCAGGGCCTGATGACCCAGTGCATGCTGGGACTTGTAGTCCCCCAGGGAGCTCTACCCCTGCAGGTGCACACTGACCTCCCTGATGAGCTTGGCCTCTCCATGTTGTATCTCGTAGATCTGCATGATGCCGCTGCCCCTGGCCAGGTTCCCCAGGCACACGAACTTGGCGCTGGACGGGATCCATTTACAGTCGAACAGCGTGTAGTTCACCGACTTCTGGACATGAGCGATGATCTGCGGCTTCTCCAGCGGGGAACTCATGTCTGCACGGTTACTGTGCACAACTCACCCAAACACACAAACCCCGCCCACCTCCGCAACGCAACTGTCACCAACACCGTGTGAGGGGCACGAGGCTGCCCTAAGCTTGCCTGTTCAGAAGAACTTAACAATACTGCTAATGTATCCGTTTCATCCCATTCTTCGCAAAATGATTAAAGAAAAGTTATTTTTATTAAATTATATATTAAATTATAACGTCACGAAGTAGTTCTATTTAAGCAGCGTGTATTGTTTGAAAGAGGCACATTAAAAGGCGGTTCGATGGCTTCGCACAGGATGTAGATGCGTCGGGCTTCTCTAGTGACATCATCCTGAAAAGGTTCTATTTTCTGCTTAGTGCTAGCTCCGCCCCTTATGACTACCCGGATGGCAGCTGATTCGCACGTGTTGGTGTGAGTGAAGTGTTAGCTCTGCAGACAAGATGGAGACGGAGAGCACCGCCGCTACCACCTCCTCCGAGGGGACCTTCACCAGTGTGACCGGCAGAGGAGGAAGAGGAGGGCAACGGAGGACAAGGCCATGGACACCGGGGAGCAGCCACGCAAGAGGCCGGACTTCCCACAGATCTCCGGAGACAAGCTCATGGTGTGTGAGAGAGACTAGAGCCGGGGCCTTCGTCATGCCAGGACTTGGTGGTAGACTAGGGAAGGGTTAAAGTCCCCCTTTTCTCCAGGATTCGTCTGCTCAATATTTTGGGTGTAAAATGTAACCAAAGGCAAAACTTGTTATAGTTTTGGATAGAGGAGAGGGATCAGATCCACTGCCAGGTGTTACTGCTGCATGTGTCCCCATTAGGGACAGTCACTCTTTCTCCTGTTTTACCATTACAAAAGAATGTTGGGTTGTCACCCGAACAGGAATAGAGGGGTAATCTTCCAATGGGGACACTGGTGGCTCTGGTGACAACCAAGGATTGCCTCACTTTGGGGTAGCAGTGTACCGAAATGAAAATTCTGAACCGAAAAGTCAGGACGCACTTGGCTGGAAATGGACAATTTAAAAAAAAATATTTGTTTCATATAATTGTTTTATTTGACTTTTAAATCAATATGAATTTAAGACGTACAATCCAGGAACATAAAATAACTTTTATGGAAAGTAACACAAATTGGCCAGAAAAGCTAATGGGGGTGGGGGAGATCTCTCTCTCTCTCTCTCTCATCTCTACTCTTCTCTCTCTCTCTCTCTCTCTCTATATATATATATATCTATATATATACACATATACTACTCAGAAAAAATGAAAGAAGCACTTTTTAATCAGAGTATAGCATCAAGTCAGTTAAACTCCTGGGATATTGATCTGGTCAGTTAAGTAGCAGAGGGGGTTGTTAATCAGTTTCAGCTCTTTGGTGTTAATGAAAATAACAGGTGCACTAGATGGGCAACAATGAGACGACCCCCAAAACAGGAATGGTTTTACAGGTGGAGGCCACTGACATTTCTTTCCCTGCTCATCCTTTCTGACTGTTTTTCACTAGTTTTGCATTTAGCTAGGGTCAGTGTCACTACTGGTAACATGAGGCGATACCTGGGCCCTATAGAGGTTGCACAGGCAGTCCCACTCCGCCAGGATGGCACATCAATACGTTCCATTGCCAGAAGGTTTGTTGTGTCTCCACACATTGGAGTCAATGACATTATTTTGCACTGGAGTCCATAACGGGGCGATTTTTGCATTGGCGTCGACGGGATACAATTTATTTATTTTTTTTGCATTGGCGTCAGTAAGGGGGTGTTTTTACATTGGAGTCAATGGGACACCTTTTTTACATTGGAGTCAATGGGACACCTTTTTTACATTGGAGTCAATGACATTATTGGCAAAACGCCGATAATCCAATTTTAGATTCCAATTTTTAGTTGGCCGATATAGTGGTGTAGCACTACGTTAGAGGGATCTCCTCTTACTTCCTGTTGTGACTATGGGACAGGAAGTGTCAGGAAATCCCCCTCTAAAGGGGCACAGGTGGCAAAAAAAGTCCTGGGGCTTGTGAACAATGTAAAAATTTCCCTGGACACGGGGTGATTATATTAGAACAGCAAACTTTTCCATTTTGGATAGAGTAAGAGCGGCTTCACACTGATTCGATGCGGTATGGATGAGGTGTACTTGTGGTTTTCATGCTGGTTACGCTCAGCAATAATTCTAGTGCCAGAGCTCACATTTAGCCTCTATTCACACTATGGATCGTACAAGAACTGCACTGTATTTCTGTGACATCCACATGTGATTTTATCCCTGTTATATTGAATGGCACCACATCACAACCAAAAAGTGCAGGCACACGTTTGTTAGCCACACTGGAACCAGATCACATGGTTGTTTATATGGTCCACTTGCAGCCTACTTTTGGGGTGTCGTTAACTTTTATTTGACACCCACAGCACTGCTCAGCCATTTACATGAAGCTTTGTGTTTTATCAGTGAATACAAGGCTTTCTCCAATTGGCTGAGATGGAGATGATATCCTCTACCCCCTCTATCTCAGCCAATCAGAGGGGGCCTTGATTTCATTGATAAAAATGCAAATCTGAGCAGCACTTAGCCTGACTTGATTGTATTCCAGGAATGGCATTGGAAGTTGCACTGATCTGCTGCATTACAGTGTCCCCGGTTTTTGTGCGGGTTATCTGCAGTTTCCCATAGACGTCTATTCTGTCCCATGATTTTTTGTGTGCACCAATAGAAGTGTAAGTGAAGGACCAGCTAACCTGCATGACAACTACAGTCGCACTGTGCTGCACCTGTTCTGCGTCCAAAGCGCACTGGGGCAGCATGAAGGCTCCTTTTTTGTGGGGCGTATGGTGACAGATCACTGAAATCTCAGGGTAAAGTACATTGAGTGAACACTCTGGTTTTAGCACAGTTACGATGTTTGCTGGATAGCATTAGTATGGGAGCTTGTATATTGCTTGCTTGTACCTATTTCCTGGACCTATAATATTGTAGATCTGTGCCATCTACAGGGTGACAAGGAAGAAATGCGAAAGATCCCAGTTCCCTCACACCGTTATACACCTCTGAAAGAAAACTGGATGAAAATCTTTACCCCGATTGTAGAACACTTGCAGCTTCAAGTTCGATTCAACTTGAAAACAAGAAATGTGGAGATAAGGGTGAGTGCTATTCCATACTCCATCCATTGGTTCGTTTGATATTTAAATAATCCGTCACACAAGATATCAGTTTGAGAAGTATTAGGTGAGAGCTGCCACTCGCTGGTTCCCAGGCTATATACAAGATGTGAGGAAGTGAGACTGAACTTCAGCGTCACTGCAATATAGTTTGTGGCCAAAGAGTCCGACATTGGCAGTATCTGAAGTGTCCCACACAGGTGACTTGATCCCTGTAATGGTGGAATCTTATTTAGTGCCAACAGTGACTTACGATGGAAGGCCATGGACTTGTTTCCATAGAGGTGACCATAATGAGTGATATCTGGGAGGGAAAAGCACATTACGGCCATATATGTGTACATTTCCTTACATTAAAGAAGTACTTAGGCCAACTTTCACATGTTTGTGTGGAAGGGTTAGAGCCCCTGTCAGGTTTTACACTGTAGATTAAACCCACATATAACGTTTGTCATCAGGGACAGATGACCCCATTGAAAGAGATCCCTTCTTACCATTTCTTGACTTAATGACACAGGTTTTAATATTCTGGATTTCCCTTCCATTTTAGACTATGATTACCATGACACATGGGGGTTTATTTACTAAAGCTGGAGAGTCCAAAATCAGACTCCCTTCTGCATAGAAACCAATCCGCTTCTAACCTCAGCTTGTTCAATGAAGCTTTGGCAATGAAACTTGGAAGCTGATTGGTTTCTATGCAGAAGGGAGTCTGAATTTGCACTCTCCAGCTTTAGTAAATAAACCCCATAGTGCAGACATTCTCCCAATAGGCACAAAAAACAGCAGTAAGAACACGAAAGAGGCTCTGATCTTTTTTCTCACTCAGTTCAAGACTAGAAAGAATAATTGGGCTGGAGTTCTACTTTAAAAAAAAAAAAAAGACAGACCAACAAAATAAGACCCCTTTGACTTTCCTAACTTGCTGCAAAATTCTAATTAGATGCTGTTGGGCACCAATGAAAATCTTGACACCTACTAGGATATGTATGTTGCTTGTTGATGATTGCACACATTATTGAAGCCGGACACACTGTGTCCTGCAGTGGGCCAGTATGGACTGACACCTTCACTCACTGTATGAAATTATTATTATACGTTCTATAGCGCCAACAGTTTGCTCAGCACTTTACAATTTAAAGGGAGACAATACAGCAACAATACAGTTCAATACAAGAGGGTTAGTAGGGCCCTGCTCCTTGAAGCTTACAATCTCAGTGGGAGGGGCTGGTGGTACAAAAGGTAATAACTGTGGGGGATGAACTGATGGGAGAAATAGAAGTTTTGGTTATTAGCTGAAGGCTGGATAGGCTTCCCTGAAGAGAGAGGTTTTCAGGGAACGCCTAAAAGTGGGCAGAGTAGGCGATAGTCGGATAGATTGGGGTAGAGAGTTCAAGAGTATGGGGAGGCTCTGAAGAAGTCATGCAGATGACAATGGGAGGAGGAGTCAAGGGAACTAGAGAGCAGGAGTTTGTGGGAGGAGCGTAGAGGGCGGTTTGGGTGATATTTGGAGACAAGATTGGTGATGTAATTTGGGGCAGAGTTATAAATGGTTTTATATGTTATTAATGTTTATTGAATTTTATTTGTTGGGCAATGGGAAGCCAGTGAAGGGATTGGCAGAGAGGGAAGGCAGACATGGAATGGTTAGTAAGGTGGATGAGTTTGGCAGCAGCATTCATGATAGCCTGTGATTACGCAGGCCAATGAGGAGGGAGTTACAATAGTCAAGGCGAGAGATAACAAGGGAGTGAATAAGTTGCTTTGTGGTTTCAGAGATTAAAAACTGGCGTATCTTGGAGATGTTGTATACAAGGTTTGGACAGTGATTGGATTTGGGGCTGAAAGGATAGATGGGAGTCTAGGATTACACCTAGTACCCTGGCATGAGGGGAGGGACTGATGGTTGTATTATTGATCTTGATGGAGAAGTCAGGAGGGGGCACGGGCTGGAGGGAATAGTATGAGCTCCACTTTAGAAAGATTGTTTGAGGAAGTGGAGTGACATCCATGCCGACATGTCACTTAGTAGGTTAGTAATGCCAGAGGAGACTGAAGGGGTGAGGAGTAGAAAGATAGATTTGTGTGTCATCAGCATAGAGATGGTACTTGAAGCCATGGGAGTTTATCGAGTGACCAAGGGAGGAGGTGTAGATGGAGAAGAGAAGAGGTCCAAGGACAGAACCTTGAGGAACCCCTGCAGAAAGAGTGAGTGGATGGGAGGACACAGAGTTTTAGGTAACGTTGAAGAAGCAAAGTAGGTAGGAGGAGAACCAGGAGAGAGCAGAGTCTCGGAGGCAAAAAGAGTGGAGTTTTTTTTTGAGGAGGAGGGGATGGTCAACAGTATCAAAAGCCGCAGAGAGGTCAAGTAGTAAGAGTATGGAGTAGTGGAGTGCAGTGTGTTATGGAAAATCTTTGTCATAACACTGCAGTGGGGGCTGAGAGGACCTGCCAGTGCTTTCAAATGGTCACTGATTGCTTTAGTGCATCAGGCCACCACACTTTTCTTTTGTCAGTAATGTGATCTCAAAACCTCTGCTTGTGCAGCACTGTAGCAATTCCAAAACACACTTATTGCAGGCTCCTGGTTGTCTTTCATATATAATAAAAATTATTAGAATTACAGAGCTGTTCACAACTGCCAGACTCCAATTAGTCTGACATTTGACTGTGATTGGTGATACAATCAGCAAAGCGAGAAGAAGCTGTGAACTACCTAAGTGACTTTACAGTCATGGCCCAAAATAATGGCACCCTGCATTTCTGTTAGATAATGCACCACTTCGCTCTAAGAAAGAAACAAAAAGCCAAATCTGAAACATTCCACGCAAAACCCTTCCAATGGACTGGACAAAATTATTGGCACCTTCTCAAATGTGGAAGAAATAATTGCAATTCCAAGTTTGTGATGCTCCTGAAATTTGTTATTAAACTCGCCTGCATAAATTAACAGATCTTAATGTTCCTGTGTCCACTGTGCACAACATTGTCAAGTTTGCAGCCCTTGGCACTGTAATTACTCTCCCTGGATGTGGACGAAAGAGAAAAACTTGATCAAAGACTGCAACAAAGGATTGTTCGAATAGTGGATAAAGAACCTCAATAAACTTCCAGAGAAATTCAAGCTGACCTTCAGGCACAGGATACAACTGTCAGCTCGCACTACGTTGCCATCTAAATTAAAAGAGACACTATGGTAGGGAGAACCCCACTGCTGACACAGAAACATAAAAAAGCCAGATTGGAAGTTTTTAAAACAAAATAAGTAAACATGAGAATGCATAATCATTTGTAATTGCAACAATCTTCTGGGTGAAGTGGTGCATTATCTGACAGAAATGCAGAGTTGTGCTGTTGATTTAGACTGCAGTGGATTTAGAACACAAATTCAAAATTTATGCAAACTGAGGAGATTTTCCCCAATCCTGAAAATGTTTAAAAGCCACAATTTAAATGTTATATGCAAAAAACATACTTGCCTTTCCACTTAGGCCAACGTTACTTTGCATTCCAGACAAGTTTCTAAGGCCGCCTCTGTCCCAAACTGCCATCTTTACCAAAGGCACTTTCCTTGTTTTCTGAAGGCATGCGCATCCAGAGCTTTAGATGTATTGTTTACACATTGCCATTGTATCGCCATTGTGTATATATGATTCTGTGGGGGTAGAGCGCTGTGTGCATATGGATGGAATTGGCACTTTTGGAGTTGCCTGAAGACTTCTGGGATATGATATTTATGTCCCAGGAGTCTGCAGGCAGTGCAGTACATCATTCTCACCTTGGCGAGATATGTGGAAATGAGAGAATAAAAACAAAAAGGCATTTACCAAAAAAAAATAGTGTCATTAAACCCAGACTATAGAAAAACTCTCATTACATGCTATATAACACAATGTGCATAGTCCCAAAGCTACTAAAAAATGTGTTCTATGTAGAAAGAAATATACCTGGTTGAACCTGCCTTTAGCTGTCCCTCCCATCTTCTGTGTCCCCACTGCAGGATGAGATTGTATAGGCCAGTTGATGTCCTTTTGAGCATGCTAATATTTCAGTTCCCTTCTAAGTTCTTCATTTATTTATTTTTTCCTGTTTATCTGTTCCGCCCACATGACTATAGTCACACATGGGCGTATACAGTGCTACATGACATTCCCTCCTCGTCCTATTGCTAAACACTATGGGGGCATGATATAGAATGTTGATTATTCACTAAAACTCTCAAAAAAGCTTAGTTTTAATATTAATCAGTACTAAATATATCAAATGTAATTGCTAATACCTGTATAGTACAAAACCAACCTTGGATGCAGATGCTGTCTGAACAAAACAAAAACAAGTGTTTGTCATCTTTAACTCCGTCTATACTATTTTAATGCACAAAAAAATATACATTTGATGTTCAGTAAAGATTTATAGGGAGGTGGAAAACAGTTTGATATTTTGTATTTTCATTTGAATTGCTCTTCTGAAACTGTTGACTGGCACAGCACCAATCTGTAAAGAGTATACATCAGCAGAGTATTAGGAGCACCTCCCAAAGATCTTTCCGTGCAGATACCATAAAACAGGGAAAGATCATGTGACCACATACCAGCGCTGCAGCAATAGGTTACTTCAAGGATTAAAAAAACAAAATCCAGTGGCATGATATGATTTGTGTGACTGAATTATGACAATTAACACTTCTCTGTTCAGTATTACTTTAATTAAATTTAAGTAGATTCAAGGGGAAGGTGCACTGTAACTTTCTGCCGTTAGTAAGGTTGCAGCGTTAGTAGCTTGCCTCTAATGCTGTCCTCAGAATAGTAGCTAATTTAGGCCTATGACACACTAGTTATCCTGTCGCTGGTGGAAACTCAATACCAACAATATCACTGTAGAGGGCAAAGAAACTACTTGTTACTACAGCATTGCTTCTTTGGTAAGGCCCCTTTCACATGGGCGGAGCGATCGGGTCCATCTGGTGTTTTAGGCAGACCCGATCAGACCCTCCCATTATCCTCTATAGAGCAGCGGTTGTAAACTGACTCGGTTGTTTTTCTTTTTTTACCAAAATTTATGGGGGTTTTTTTCGTTTGTTTAGCAAAAAATAAAAACCCCAGTGGTGATCAAATACCACCAAAAGAAAGCTCTATTTTATATTAAAGATAAAAATGTAGTTTGGGTATAATGTTGCATGACCGCACAATTGTCATTCAACGTATGAGAGCGCTGAAAATTGGTCTGGGCAGGAAGGGGGTAAAAGTGGCCAGTAGACAAGTGGTTAAAGGATAAGTTCACCATTCTGAACATGTTACACCCATATTTAGGATGTAACCCGTTCAGCATCCACCACCCCAACCCTGATCCCCACCTTCCCTGTGACAGCGGCCAGGGGACCTTTTCCCCGCACCTGCTGCCACAATTTTTCAAAACAGCGGGACCCCCCCCCCCCCCCCATTGCGGTGTCATTCATTCATTGGTTCTGTGAATGAATGAACCACAACTACCATCAGCCATTGTGGCAGAAGGCTTGTAGTTCTCAAACTACAAGGGCCTTGGTAAGAGTTCCCATATTTCATTGATCTCCCTGGAATTCAGTAACTGCATGCCAAGATAGCTACTCTGACAGCCTGCGGGAGCCTGGTATTGCACCCATGATCTACTGATCGGTGGTGCAATGCTTTACAGGCTCCTAACTTATCCTGTAAAGAAGAAAATTAACCAAAACTACTCAATGGTCAACACTATTACCAAGATAGAAAGTCAAAGAGTACCTGTAATGTTATTGTAGCCAAAACAGGAGTAGATGGGATAGCCTTCAGTTTATAGCTGTCAAAGCTAGAAGACTGAGAGTAGCTTCTTATGAGACTTTTGCTCACATCTTTTTTTGGTGTCATTGGGACTGGTAATAAGGGGAAATCTCCTCGATGTGGGAATCAGGCCAGTATAAGCCCAACACTTCCCTACTCCATCCAAGACCAAATAAAAACCATTTTGGCTGGGGTTCTACTTTAATAGTTATAAATGTTGCCTGGCTTTATGGTTTATTAACACACAATATTGAATTCTTCTGTGTACTGGAAATTCTAGCTCATTTTCCCCCTTTCTACACTTTTGTGATCCATGTAAATGCTGCCTTTGTTAATTGTAGTCATTTTCTGGGAACGCCACCAAATTGGTACTGGCAGAGCTTATGTAATATGTGGGTTCACAGACCACTTTGAGGGCAGATTCAGATGTCTCCTGTTTAATTGATTTTATTAAATTAAATCTTGTTTTGCAGACCTGTAAAGAAACTACAGATGTTGGTGCACTCACTAAAGCTGCAGATTTTGTCAGAGCATTTATCCTGGGCTTCCAGGTGGAGGTAGGTTCTCTAGTGTATTGTTACTGGAGACTGTGGGGGCTGGCTGGGAACACTGTCTTATACTATGTAGATAGGAAATCTTCTATGATGGGTGTAAAGACACCAGAAAAGGTTGGTTGCAGATGATCTGTTGAAAATGCTGCCAAGCCTCTGTGTTTTCTGAGGTACTCACTGCTACAAATATGTTGATCAGGACCTCTGACCTCAGTTGCTGTATACTTTTTCTCAGTTAGTAACTTCCACATTAGCAGCCAGAAACATCCCTAAAAACAAAACAAAAAAAATCAAAAAACCTCAATGAGTGTTGGATCTGTAGCTGGGATTAAATCCTATACCATTGTTTTTGCTTAAATGACTGTTACTTTAACCACTTAAAGTGGAACTGCACTGCATCTGACTACCACAAAGTAAAAATGCTATATAACCACTTAACATCCGCCCTATAGCAGTTTTACTGCTTGATCTTCAGTATTTGGTATCTATTTTCTTGACAGAGTGTTGCAGGAAAGTGAAATATATTGTGTTTGTGTGCACTCAAATTAGGTTTAGTGTGTTTTCTACTAAACTGGTTTGAAAAGCAGATATTGCGCAGTAGAAAAAAAGTTGCAACTATCTTTTTTTTTTTTTTTTTTTTTTTTTTTTTTTCTTTTTAAAGTGAACCCATGGCCAAGCTATAGACACTCAAGTATGTGTGCATATTCTTAACAGTGATTCAACAACCTTCTTATCTTTTGTGTTTAACGGAGCAGATGTGCAGTGGAATGCAGCCACTGAGAGAACAATGTGACTGTTCATTGCCTGTACTGTGAACTTTGAGTATGGATTACTCAACAATGCTTGCAGCTACAGAGGTCCGTGAGGGCATTCTTAAAAAAAGAAAAAAAAATCGGAGCTGTTAATGGACAGATCTGTGATAATTGTGTTGGAATGCATTTATGTGTCTTTTTATTTCCCTTTTAGGATGCCTTGGCTTTGGTTCGATTAGATGACCTCTTTTTAGAAACCTTTGAAGTCACAGACGGTAAGCTGCAGATAATTTCTCTTAATTTCCACCTTAATGGGCCAGTATTTCTTTAAGTGGAACAATAGGCGAAACTTTTTTTTTCATTTTGGACAGAGTAAGGGAGGGTTATAACCCCTGTAAGTTTGTTTTTTTGCATTCCATTAAAGCAGATGTCTCCAAACTTTCTGAACAAAGGCCTAGTTTATTATCCTTCTGACTTTAGAGGGGCCTGACTGGCCAGTAGAAGTAGAAAATGTCCTAGCATCAGTAACAATGCCCCACTAATGGTGTCAGTGAGAGGAATAGTGCCCCATCATTGGACAGTTTCTAACAGGGGAGCAGACAACAATAAAAACCTGACCTCTCCACACTACCCCAAAAACGTTTTGCCTTTTAGTTTATACAACCCATGACAAAAAGTATGGAATCATCACTTTTGGAAAATGTTCATTTAAATTGAGTATAAACCCCCCCCCAAAAAAAAAAAACAACAAATGGACATGCCTCAAAACTATTTTCATTTAACATTCCAATCTTCTGGCTTTAGGAAACACTTAACAAAATAAAGAAAACTGTAGTCAATTGCAACTTTTTTTGCAGATCAAGCAAAGGAAAAATATATGTAATCACTCAATTCTGGGGAAAATATTATTGAATCACCATTAGTAGTGCACTGAAATTAAAATTTTGGTGCCGATACTGAAAATTTAGAATGCATGTGGCCGACAACCGAACCAAAATGTTTGCGTATGTGGGGAGGCTCCAATTTTTTTTTTTTTTCTACTTTCATGTATATTTTTATTTTTTTTAACTTATGATTTTATTGCTATCACATAGGGGACCAATAGTCCCCTATATGATGGCATATGAGTGACAGGCCATCTTTGTAGGGGGAAGGGGGGCAGTGTGTGCAAGGAGGGAGCAGGAGAGGGGCAGTGTATACAGTGAGGTAGCAGTGTATACAGAGAGGCTCCCTCACTGGCTATCACTATATGTCAGTGCCGTTTTTAAATGCAATTGCCGGTACTGATATATAGCTAAAGGAAACTTGGCTTTTTTTTTTTTTCTTCACTATAGCTCAGAACTAAAAGAAACAAAGTTTCTTTGTAGTTTCTTTCCCGAGCTAAAAAGAAACAACAATGCCATCAGAGAAGGAGCTGTCATTCGCGGAGGGCTAAAAGACAGTGGAGGGGGTCACCCAGTGACATTACCCAGTGACCCTGCCCTTTGTTTCCTTTAGCTCTGGGGAAAGTGACAACTCATTCTCAAAAAGCCGGTAATTACATTTAAAAACCGGCACTGACATATAGTGACAGCTAGTCACTGTATACCCTTCTCTTCTCCTGCCTTTCTCCGCCTCCCCCCCCCCCCCCCCCCCCCTCACATCTGCAGTATACACAGTCCCCTGTATTGGCTATATTTTTCCTATCTGCAAAACACTGATAGGGCCATTTTCGGCGGCCGAAATTTCGGTGCATCCCTAATATCCATGTACTTTGCTTTCTAAAACAATCAATTGTTGGTCGTTCCCAGTGAGCTGTCTAAAATCTGGATCAAGTACAAACCAAGCGGGAAGGTTGTAAAAGTAAAGCATACTGGTAAAGGACAACATCAAAGCGTCAATATAAAAAAACTTGAAGCAATATGCCTTGAAAACAGAAAATGCACATCAAAATAAATGGGCAGAAACTTGAGTCAGTGTCTGTGACCGAACTGTAAGACATCCCCTAAAGGGATTGGGATTTACATACAGAAAAGCCAAACGAAAACCATCATTAACACCTAAGCAGAAAAAAACAAGGTTACAGTGGGCTAAAGAAAATCAATGATGAACTGTGGATGAAAGTGATATTGAGTGATGAATCACAAATCTGCATTGGGCAGGGTGATGCTTGCCGTTCCAATGAAATATATAAAGATGACTGCCTGAAGAAAACATGCAAATTGCCACAAACATTGATGATATGGGGTTGCAAGTATGGGGGAGATGAGTCATTACATCTTCAATAAATGCACAAGTTTATATTGAGATTTTTGACACCTTTCTTATTCCATCAATTGAAAGGATGTTTGGTGATGATGACCTCATTTTTCAGGATGATAATGCATCTTGTCATAGGGCAAAGGCCATGAGAACTTTCCTTTTAAGAAAGATCTATAATGTCCTGCATGACCTGCAAATAGTCTGGACCTCAATCCAATTGAAAATGAATGGAAATGAAAGAAAATGGTCCATGACAAGGTTCCAACCTGCAAAGCTGATCTGGCAACTGCAATAAGAGAAAGTTGGAGCCAAATTGATGAATACTATTTGATGGTTAAATCCATGAGAATTCAAGCTGTTATAAAAGCCAGAGGTGGTGCAACAAAGTACTTGAGGCGTACCAGAGGTTTTTTTTTTGTTTTCTTTTGTTTTGTTTTTTTCCCCCCTCAGCTTGATCTGCAAAGACAGTTGCAACTGTCTACAGTTTTTTTTTTTTTTTTTTTTTTTTTTTCTCTTTTTTCCCTTTTTTTTTTTTTTTAAGTGTTTATTAAAGTCAGAAGGTTGGAATGCTAAATGGAAATCCTTTTGAGGCATGTCTCCTCTCCTTTTTTTTTTTTTTTTTTTTTTTTTTTTTTTTAATTCTACACAATTAAATGAACATTTTCCAAGAGTGGTGATTCCATACTTTTTTGCCAGGGGTTGTACTTTTGAAACTGTGTGAAGAAACCCATCCAAATATATGATGAGCACACAAACACGTTGCTGCCAGGGTTCCGGTTGGGTTTGAACCTATTATGGAAATGCTTCAGTATAGCAACATTAAACTGCCTTTCATCTTTTACGAGGTGGGTGCTGCTGTTTATCTTGTTAGCATTCCAGGTATTGTTACAACCTGCTTTCTTCTCATTCCAGTTAAACCTTTAAAAGGAGACCATCTTTCTCGTGCAATTGGCAGAATAGCTGGAAAAGGAGGAAAAACTAAGTTCACCATTGAGAATGTAACAAGAACCAGGATCGTTCTTGCGGACTCGTACGTATATACACATTTCCTGTATAAAATAGGCTGCCTTTTAACCCTTTCTTTGAATAATTTGTGTGTTTGTGAACTGCATGCCTTTTTTTTTTTTTTTTTTTTTTAATTTCTTGTATTCAAGTTTCTAAAATTACATGACATGTCAGACTGATGAGAATAATGTGGACTATTTGGAGTAATAACTTGCAGTCAGTGAAAATGTTTTGTAGATTTGAAAACCTGTTTCTTTAATGGAATTTGGGCTTCGTCTAGTAAAAAAAATTAATTATTGGACAGCACTGCCTGCATGTGGCTCTCTGCAAAGCCATGTGGGTCATGTGACTGGTTGCCAGAGGGAGCCCCAATTTGTGTTCTTACCCATCTGTCTGCTTGACTAAGCTGCCACTGCATTGCTTAAATAATTAGCCACCAGAGGTAGTGGCCAGCTCTGTCTGCATATGGCGCTCAACAACACTGCTTCTGTGTTAGTCCCTGCCACCCTCATTTACCCATCCAAAATCCCTCGCAGATGCCCCTCAATCATTATAACATATACCCTGCCCTCTCTCCCCCCTACTGCGCGATGTAGCCTCCTTGTGACCACAGCCCAATTCATTCTATTGGCGATCTATGCCTGTTCAGGTCAAGTCAACTCTGCATTTCTTATGATTAGCTGCCAGAAGTTGCCTAATTTTCCGTTACTGGCCTCCTCTTTGTTGGTCATTGCCAGAAGTAGCACAAATTCCAGTGAAAGTGGTTTTAAAGGCAAGACTTTTTTTACCTTATATTTAGGTAAAAATCTCTCAGTATTATCTCCCCCTCACCACCCTGTGTTCTTACCGGAGTTCTGTCTCGATCTAGCACTGTGCCCATATGCAGCGGCACTGGTCAATGTTCCTCGCCTCATAGGACACCGAGGCGGGAGCCATTGGCTCCTTCTGTTGTCTGTCAAATTCTGTGAGGCGGGCGGGGCTGAGCCTCATTATATGTGCACACAGCCTGACTTGGGAGCGAGCCTGCATGTGTGTGCTTAACAAGCGGCTTGCTTTGGGGGCACACATGAGGAGCAAGGGACCCCAGAAGAGGAGGTTTGAGGCCGCTCTGTGCAGAACCATTGCACAGAGCAGGTAAGTATAACCTGTTTATTTTAGAATAAAAAACTTAGCCTTTACAATAACTTTAAAATATACATTGTTTAGGAGCTTCATAAACACATTTATTTAGTTTTTTCGCTCAATCTTTATTGTGCTGTAATGCTCTGTTCACATCCATACTGATGCAACACAGGGTGTGCATTTTGGCACATTTCCATGCATAATGTTTAGGGCAGCCCATTCATTTCAGTGGGCTGCCCTATGCACTAGAAGCATGCACAAGCAGTGTTTGACGCTTTTTAAAAATTCCGCCCTACCAGCAACGCACTTGAATGTTTTGCCAGGCTCGAAGTCATGTGCGTTATCGAGATGCATGGGAGGTGCCAGTAAAAATGAATAGCACAGATGTGTGTCTGCAAAAGGGCTTTGCATTTTTGTGCGTTGCAGGAAAGGGTGCAGTTTTGTGCATGTTTCTGCAAAACACAAGTGTGAGCATAGGCTTAAAGTGCTAGTAAACTGCTACCAAGAAAAAGTTGGGCCGCTGCAGGGTTACCCCATAATGTGCTAGTATGCACTGCATTATGGTAGACTTACCTGCAACGTGACCCCCTCCACCGCAGTGCTGTCACAGCTCCCTTGACGCTTCCATCTTCACTCGGTCTTCCTTCCAGGTTCGTGGGTTCTGGATGTTTTAATGGCATGCCTGCTGGAGCCTGTGCATTCCATAGCATACTGTTTGCTTTGAATGCAGTGTGTGATGTCATTGACTATTGCCGATTGTGAATATCTCTAGACATTGCATGTTTAGGACATATTCATTGTACCTGTAGGTAAGTTTGATCGGAAGCTTACCTGTAGAAACAATATAAAAAGACGACTAGCACTTTAATTATAACTAGTGTCTGCTTTTCACTTTTAGTTTTTGAATCTTACAGCGGATATCTGGGTTCCAGGGCAGAATGTGGTCATGTAAATGTTCTTTAATAACAAGGTATTTGTGGCAATTCGTCGCACAGCCTCATGAGTGTTGCCGCAGGCACAGAGCTGTGTCGGTGCAGAAACAGTTTTTTTTTTTTTGTGTTTAAGTTCTTGTTCTGTGTTGATGAAGATTGAAGATCATCCCTTGCTGGAAACTTTCCCATGACCATAAATGGTGTGGAGAGCTTTCAGAAACATTAAGGAAGCCCTAGACCAACCTGACTTTTCCACATGAATCTCTTTGTTCTCCACATAAATCTTTTCCATTGAAAGCTATAATCTCCTGCTTTACATGTTTCTTTTGGTGAATGCACATCTACCCAGTATCTGAAGCAGGTGAGGGGCTAGTTGGGCTGCAGAATAATTCATACTTCTAGTGTTCAGGGGTCTGTAAGGAATTTACTTCAAGATTAGAAAGGGTTTTCATTCTGTTATTATTATTTAGGATTCCTATAGTTCCAACAGTTTACGCAGTGCTTTACAACAGAAGGGCAGACAGTACAATTACAATACAAATGAATACAGGACGAATCGGAATTTTTTTTTTTTTTTTTTTTTTAAAGAACCTCTTTGGAGGAGGGAGTGTTATGGGGCCATGTGAACGCCAACAAGAAGATAAGTGAAAACATAAAAAATTGTTGTGCTGCCTCTACCAAAAATACTTTAAATAAATGAACTTCCTACAACATAAAGGATCCCTACAAATGTGCATACACTACAATGCCCTGGGGGCTGACAATTATATCCCTCCTCCCCAGTGACTAAATCGTAAATAAACCAATATGTAAATTCAACGTGCTGAAACGACAATAGTGCTAAAAATAGCACATATATACAGTCATGGCCGAAATTGTTGGCACCCTTGATATTTCTCCAGGAAATCATGTATTTCACGAAATATTGCATTAATAATGTTTTGCCATCAATGTTTATTCCCTTTGTGTGTATGGGACAAAACAATGAAATTGACATAATTTAAAACCTCCAAAAATGGGCTGGACGTATTGTAAACCCTTTCACAACTGCGGATAAATAAAAATGTTACCATGTGATGCTCCTGAAACTCCACAGGTGTCCAATATGTGAATCAAGTGAATACAGATAGTTCACTTAAATTGTGTGTCTGTCTTGCCACACTATCCATAGCAATTCTGTGTGAAGTGCTCCAATTGGTGCTCCCCCTCCAGTGCCCCACTCACCACAGATATTTGACCACTTGGACGGTAGGTTCAAAAATATGCCGCATAAGATGTTGCACTGCACTCTCCTGCAGGAAAAAATTGTCAGTCTGCGAATGGTCTTGATAGCCCCCTTTATTCAACACTGATGACAGCTCTCCATAGTGGAAACACCTCTAGACATTTAAATGAAATCGCTTTGCAGGAGACCCAAACCCCACTCCTGACACAGAGACAGCAAACCTCCACAGTACTCCTCCCACCGTAAAAACATCAAAGGGAAACTTCCATAGCGTAACACCGTACTGTTTTATTGGGTAAATAACACTTAAAAATTGCACTTACATGGCAAAACCTTGATGTGTAGGCACTTTTAAATCGCACTGTAGCCCAGTGTCAAAGCGATTCCTTCTTCCGAGGACAATGTGTAGTGCTATCAAAGAAGCCTTTCCTGACCCGATCTAAATCGTGAACATGAGAGTCTTAAAATCAGGAAAAGTGTCCTTCCACTATGGAGTCTGTTTCATCCATATGTCAGAAGCATATAGAGGTATTTCAAGACCACACAGACGGCCAGCTTTTTCCTGCAGGAGAGCGCTGCATAGATCTTATGCGATTATTTGACCAATACCATTCCAGGTGGTCCGTTATCTGTGGTGAGTGGGGCTCTGGAGGGGGAGCACTAATTGGAGCACAGATATTTGACCACTTGGAACGGTAGGTCAAATATCGCATAAGATGTTGCAGCACTCTCCTGCAGGAAAGTTCGCACAGAGAATTGCTATGGATAAGAAGATTTACTACTGTATCACTTAGTATTCACATTGGATGCGGATGGGGGTTTCTTTGGGATTGTTTTTGGAACTTTCACTTTTTTTGGAATTTCATATGTTTGCACAGGGAAACTTTATTGGGACGTATTTTTATAAATAACACTTAAAATTGCACTTATATGTGTATGCACTTTTAAATCCCAGCACAAAGCGATTCCTTCTCCGAGGTGTAGTGCTATGTGTTTGTGTATGACGTCATCAGGAGTGCTCCACTATGGAGTCTGTCATCCATATGGCATATAGAGGTATGTGCAGGAGAGCGCTGCAAGATCTTATGCGATTATTTGTACCATTCCAGGTGTGTCCGTTATCTGTGGTGAGTGGGGCTCTGGAGGGGGAGCACTAATTGGAGTCACACAGAGTGTGGATAAGAAGATTTACTACTGTATCACTTAGTATTAACATTGATGCGGATGGGGGTTTCTTTGGGTGTTTTTACTTTTTTTGGAATTTATATGTTTATATTGGGACTTTTAATAAATATATTTTTATATATTTTTTTTTATACAATTTCTCTGTATACACATAGTTTCATGGCATTTTATGTGTGCTATTTTTAACACTATTGTCGTTTCAGCACCTCGTATTTACATATTGGTTTATTTATGATTTAGTAACTGGGGAGGAAGGAAATAATAGTCAGCCCACGGGGCATTATAGTATATGCACATTTGCAGGGATCCTTTATGTAGTAGGGAGTTCATTTATTTAAAGTATTTTTTTGGTAGAGGCAGCACAGCAATTTTTATGTTTGCACTCACACATTTGTTCACTGGTACACATTTGTGATTTTGCTAGCAGCAGCCAAATTGATCAGTCCACTGCGCAGGTTATACTAACATAAAAGATAAGTGACGTTGTTGCCATAGCCCCCCACCCACATGGGACTCATTACTTTAACGTGTATATATATATATATATATACACATGTATTT